CAAAATTATTTTTCGCAATAAAAACCTCATAATCGTGTTTGTGAGATCAAAATATACTACCCCTAAAAAGCTTTGCACTTATATAAGAGACTCACCCCGTATATTAACAAGTAACAATACACCAATTTACTTTATTGTTAATATTTTTTGAAACTTTTAAAGATTACAGTTGAGGGTTGGAAGTTTTAGTGTTAAACAGCAAAATAAAACACTAATTCACCACAACGTGGTTAAGCTTGAGGGCACAGCGTTGCCCACTTTCATATAATATTTTCTTTTAATCAAAATATTTTAGGAAACAAAAATAAATTATTTTAAATATATAAACAGTTATTATTTACATCAACAAAACTCACCTTCTTAACAGCACTTAAGGGACATAAAGGGCCATTACTAACGCTTTTCCCTTCAAAATATTCTAATAAAGTTGTGATGATTTTTTTTACGGCTATTAAGCTATCTTGTACACTTCGCACTAAAAGAGGTTTTAAAAAGAACAATGTTCGACTGCAAGGCCTGCTTGTAAACAGTAAAAGTATCACAACACTATTTATTTAAACCAAAAACTCGTAATACAAAACTAAGTGTCAAAATGAATGACAGTGTCAGGAAATAAATAAATAAATGCGGCAACTTGACATTTTTTACAGCAGAGCTACCACCTGAAACCCCAGCGCAAAATTTAAATTTTAGTTAGTCAGCCCGGCGCCGAATACATATCTCAATGGTTGGCAACAATGAATTTAAAAATCGCGCCCTCGATTACGTAACTAAAAGTATTGATATCAAATATACAGGGTGTTTCAAAAAATATGTGTCATCTCTCGTGGGGAGATTCCTCAGGTAAAAGTAAGATTTATTTTTCATATCAATATAGGTCCGATTGTGCTTTGTTTCGTAGCTACAGGGTGTTAAAATCTTATTAATCTTCCCATTTATTATAATTTTCTTCGAAGTACTTTTGGTGATTCGAATGAAATCTGGAAGGTAAAAGTTACTATAAGTGCTACATATTTTAATGCTAAAAAACTACTAGATAAATTCATCAGGGACTTGCATATTGGTTATCACTGGAATATTTTTCAAAAAAAAACATGTACGCCACTGACTTTTTTCTTTTGATATCAAAATTGTGTAGGCCGTTTAATGCCAATTAAAAGTTTGTTAGTTAGATCTCTTGATATTTCGTTGAATTCGGCCACCTTGATGAGATAAACGCAATTTTATTAATCACAATTAATAAAATTAAAATAAAAATAAAATTAATAAACTATATATTTGATCTAATTTATCATTAAATATTGCTACTATTAGTTATTATTACTATTAATTCAACCTACAGCAATTTGAAATAAAAAAATAATTGTATTTAAGACAATTACAAAAAAAACTAATTTTAAAAAATGTTAACATCTTGTAACTCTAAAACATATTACCCATGTTTATAGGACCTTTTTTCATATTTTTTTGATGGGGAATTAACTTTAATTAAACTGTCGCAAGTTAATGATATTATTTTTTTTTAAAGGTTGCAGTTAGACTTGGATCAAGGCAAATTAATAAAATTGCGTTTATCTCATCAAGGAGGCCGAAATAGACAAAATATTGAAAGACAACTTTTAATCGGCATTAAACTGCTTACACTATTTCACTAAGAATAGAGAAAAAAAAGTCAGTGGCGTACATACTTTTTTTAGAAAAATATTCCAATGATAATGACACTTTTTGCCACTTTTTTGGCTTTAAAATATGTCGCATTTATAGTAACTTTTACCCTCAAAATTTCATTCGAAACGCTAAAAGTACTTGGAAGAAAATTATAATAAATCGAAAAAAATATTAAGACTAACACCCTGTAGCTAGGAAACAAAGCGGAATCGGAGACCATTCATTGGATATTTCATTGTCAGTGTCTAATTTTTCGTTCTTTTCGGTATTTGTAGCGTCCGAAAATAATAATTATTTAAATGCAAAAAAGCTTTGACGTTATAAACACATAATAAATCGTTATCGTTGTCATGGCAACCTGTGAAAATATACTACACATCAATTGTTTGAAAGTCGTGGGTGTAAATTTGTTTCATACACGGTGCGGCAATAGTGCCTCGGGCATCTGTAGCTCCTGGAATAAAAAATTGGGAATTTTGTTTAAGTGCAAACCTAAAGTATGTACGAGGATCTATTTCAGAAAAATACTTTAACTTCTATAGGGTGAGTCAAAAAAGTTTGAGTTGATCGCGATGAGTTTTTTTAAATGGAACACCCTGTATATTATTGCATTTTTGGCTTCCTTTCAGATCACTTTATATAATTCTAAGATATGAGTAAATGTATTTTGATAATTTCAGATTAATATCTCTGAAATAAATAAAACCTTCCTTAAAAAATTATTACAAATACAAGAACTGTCATGAAATAAAAATTTTATTAGGTATTTACTTTAGATGGTCTATAATTACTTTGCTATAAATATCGTAACCTTAAACCATACGGGGTGTTCAAAATTCTACGCCAAACTTTCTAAAATATAAAATAATTTTTCTTAAACGAAACAGGTTTTTTAAATGGAACATCCTGTGTATTATTTTTTATTAGATGAAGAGTTAAAAATGAACATTTTTTGTATTTAAAGTATTTCAAAATTTTTAATGGTTTCGCAGATACACGCAGTATTATTTTATATGGCTCTTTCAACGGTAAAATACAGAGAAAAATCGTTGGGTGACTTCCATAAAAAATTACTGTGGAAAATGCCATATGAAATACCTATAAAACCACGAATATCTGCGGAACCGTTAAAAATTTTGAAATACTCTAAGTACAAAAAAAGTAAATACCTAATATAGTTTTTATTTCAGGACTGTTTATGTATTTTAATATATATTTTATTATATAATAATAAATATACTACACATCAATTGTTTGAAAGTCGTGGGTGTAAATTTGTTTCATACAGGGTGCGGCAATAGTGCCTCCGGCATCTGTAGCTCCTGGAATAAAAAATTGGGAATTTTGTTTAAGCGCAAACATAAAGTATATACTAGGATGTATTTCAGGAAAATATTTTAACTTCTACAGGGTGGCACCAAAAAGTGAGTGCATCGGGATGATTTTTTTTAATGGAACACCCTGTATATTATTGCATTTTTTGGCCTACTTTCAGATCACTTTACAAATCCTAAGATATGAGTAAATATATCTCAATAGTTTCACAGATATTAATAAATAAATTAAAAATACAGTATGGTTTTCAGTCTTTTTTATAAAAATTATTAAAAATACGTAAACAGCCCTGTAATAAAAACTATATTAGGTATTTACTTTTTTTGTACTTAGAGTATTTCAAAATTTTTAACGGTTCCGCAGATATTCGTGGTTTTATAGGTATTTCATATGGCATTTTCCACAGTAATTTTTTATGGAAGTCACCCAACGATTTTTCTCTGTATTTTACCGTTGAAAGAGCCATATAAAATAATACTGCGTGTATCTGCGAAACCATTAAAATTTTGAAATACTTTAAATACAAAAAATGTTCATTTTTTAACTCTTCATCTAATAAAAAATAATACACAGGATGTTCCATTTAAAAAACCTGTTTCGTTTAAGAAAAATTATTTTATATTTTAGAAAGTTTGGCGTAGAATTTTGAACACCCCGTATGGTTTAAGGTTACGATATTTATAGCAAAGTAATTATAGACCATCTAAAGTAAATACCTAATAAAATTTTTATTTCATGACAGTTCTTGTATTTGTAATAATTTTTTAAGGAAGGTTTTATTTATTTCAGAGATATTAATCTGAAATTATCAAAATACATTTACTCATATCTTAGAATTATATAAAGTGATCTGAAAGGAAGCCAAAAATGCAATAATATACAGGGTGTTCCATTTTAAAAAACTCATCGCGATCAACTCAAACTTTTTTGACTCGCCCTATAGAAGTTAAAGTATTTTTCTGAAATAGATCCTCGTACATACTTTAGGTTTGCACTTAAACAAAATTCCCAAGTTTTTTTATTCTACAAATGCCCGACGCACTATTGCCGGATCCTGTATAAGTACATCATTTAAAAATTGTTATTTTTTCCGATTTTCAGCAACAAAATATGAAAAAGAAATCAATTGCTTACTACCTAAGCTTACTACCACATAGCAGATATTAAAAAATGAGACAAATTTATAGTTTAATAAGTAGGTAGGTATGTAAAGTTTGTCCAACGGGTCAGGAAAGGTTTTTGACAAACAAAAAGTGACAGAAAATACAATTTACTGGTAAATTAAAATGACAGGTAATAACTGTCATTACCATGTTTCTTCGAGTGTTTCATGTTTTGTTCGAGTGGCAATTATAAAAACATTATATTAAAATAGGGGGGAGGGGGAGTTGAATATCCGGGAAAGTTGAGTTATTGAATGTTATTGCACCCAACAACGCCCTAATTACGCTCTCCTTTACGCGTTAACATTTTTTCGGCAATTTTTTTAACATTTGAAACTGTCGCAACACAACGCTGACGGACGCCTAGTTCAAATTCTTTTTCGCTTATTTTTACTACCCGAAACAGCGTTAAATCACACAACCCTCGTACCTGAGTGTTTCTCAATCTCAATAACTGCACTAGCAAGAAACTAAAATACTTAAATATTGACAAAACCACGATTTCAATATTATTTTAATGCGATCAACATAACGGCGTGAAAAAGCTATTGATAATTTCTGATTTTTGCCGTTGAAGCGCTGCGGTCGGAATTTGTTGAAATCATCTGAAATGCACAAAGCCTATACGATTTTTGCTCTGTTAACACATTTCGTTAATAAACGCAAAACAAGATCAAAACTTCAAACACTACCTATCCTTCAAAAAAAAATCAAATTCAAATGGCTTAGAATATTTTCTATTTTACCAACAGAAACCCAAAATATAATATTTTATACAATCAAAATCTTAAACCGGCTATACGAGTACGTGAAACTTGAATAAAAATATCTTACCCCAGTACTTTACATCAATTGTCAAAACAAAAAACAAGTCTTACAACACTAATCACTTATTGTTTGATCTAACAATAATTAATCCTTATTTTCTACAGCGTCAAAATACATTTTTCATCAATAAACACAATCAGTAAAAACATAAACAAGATCCCAAACACTATCCGCACCGCAAAAAAAACTAGTTGGAAAAATCTTTATTTACTTTTTTCCGTTTTCCTGCGACGATTCTCGTCGTTCGGTCGCTCCTCGAACTGACCGCAGCGCTCCGTGAAATCGCCGATGCGAGACTGAACGATGCGTCGCGATCGCTCACGATCGACGCTCATTGATAAGCGGGATCAGGGGCGGCGCGCCTTGGCGGACGTGTGTCGTCGCGACGCGGTGCTCGTGGATGAGTCGCGTCGGCGGGACTGGGACGCCGGCGTCGAAATGAGTTCGGACAAGGTCGGGACGGATCGGATCATGTCCGAGCTTGGAGGCGTCTGGAAAGCGCAATGGAATTGACGACGTTGGAAAGACGTAATTTTTTTCCTTCTGTCTGTGTATCGTCGGAGTCTGTAGTTAGGATATCTTTCCAACCGGACCGAGAACCGATCCTGGGACGGTAATTTTTAATCGCCCACTTATTGTTTGAAAAGTTTGATCGTTTGTAAAGATTTAAAAATGAATTGACTGATAGGAAATTACCGTTCTAGGACGGTTCTCTCGTCCGGTTGGAACAAACATATACTAGTGTAAAATGCGGTTGACGTGGATCAATTTTAGAATTTAGAATTTAGAATGAGTGGGAGGGGGGTTAATCACTTCGACCTTACAGATCCATTGTGTCCCCCTTTCTTGAATCATAACTCATCATACAGTCCCAGGGCTTTGACAAAAACCAGTATCTGGGACGGTTTTATAGAGGGTAGTTCTCCATCTCCAATATCAGTCGTACCAAAATTCATGGCACGAATGGTTATCGTCTCGGCGCACTCAGTGATGAGGTGTACTGGTGTTTCACCATCTTCCCCACAGAATCTTCATTCGCCGTTTCTTCTTAGTTTCAATCTACTGAGGTGTTCATTGAGGAGACAATGTCCTGTTAAAAACCCCGTGACAATCCGAAGATTGTTCTTACTCAGACCCAGGAAGATCTGTGATTTTTCTTGATCATAAGCTCTCAGAAACTTCTTCGAGTGTCTTAGACCATTGCAAGATTTCCATTCCAGGTTGCGGATGGAATCTTCCAAGTTCTTGAGTTCCGCCTTGAGTTGGTTACCACTTGGAAAGCAGAACGGTTCTGGTCCAGTTAGTGGAGTGTTCGCTCCTTTCCTAGCTAGATTATTTGCTTTTTCATTGCCTTCTATCCCTTGGTGAGCAGGCACCCAGTGTAGGAGGACTTTGTTTTTTTGCCTAATTTATTCAGCTTCTCTATGCATTCTTTGACCAATTTCGAATTGATTGATACTGAGTTGATCGCCTTTAACGCTGCTTGACTATCAGATAAGATGGCTATTTCTTGTTTCCGATAGTTCCTATCTAAGATAAGTTGTACGCATCTCTCGATAGCGTAGATTTCTGCCTGTAGGATACTAGGGTAAGTTCCCATTGGTTCGGAGTAATTAGCTCTCGGCCCAAACACTCCGATCCCTGTTCCCGTATTGGTTTCGTACGTGGATCAAATACACCTGGATTTTGTCTGCTGTCTGCTGCCATATTATACGTCTCTGGATCCTGTAGGCGTAGGGCGTAGTTCCCCGACACGCCCGAACTTTTCAGTGAAGCAGCTATTCCTCTGGGCATTCGCAAATCTCGAGCCACACACTGAGCGAGCGAATAATCAGGAGGCACGGAAAAGAGGCCTCCTTTGGTTTGATTTGGTTGCTTTGGTTACACCATAGCGAGCTTTCTCACTGCTGTTGTAACGAGCCATGAAGTCGTCAAAGGACATCTCCGAATCAGGGGGATCAAAGCTGCAGGTTCTCACGGTCCCAGCACGATCTTCTATTTCGCCTTGGTAGGGGCTCAACCGATTGAAATGGACTATCCTCGGTTTTCCTTTTGGCAATTTTCTGACACGGTATACGACGTCATTAATCCTATCCATGACTTCATATGGCCCTTCCCACGAGGATTGTAGCTTCGGAGATAATAAATAAATAACACAACGTCTCTGCGGGTTGTATAGCCACACCAAATTCCCTGGTTGTTATTCTCCATACTCAGCTTGAATGTCGTAGTGCTCCTTATTCATTCGGTCACTAGCGCTGTGAATATTTAGGCGGACCCTCTGATGGATGTCGTCCATCCTTTGGCGTAGTCTATGGACATAATCTTCTTCAACGATATCTTCTCCCGGTCGGCAACCAAACTTCAGATCACAAGGTAGGCGCACTTCCCGTCCTATAACGATGCTGGCTGGAGTTTGCCCTGTGGATTCTTGAACGGATGAACGGTAGGCCAACAAGAACAGACGAAGAAATTTGTCCCAGCCTCTTTGGTGGCCAGAGACTACTTTGGCCAGATAAGGGTTGATGGTTCTGTTCATGCGTTCAAAAATATATGTCACAATAAAACTCGTATTTATTAAATAAAACACTGGATTTCCTTAATAACTCCTTTATTTTATCGCACGTCAAGAATTCGGAGGTAATACCCCATTACTATCCTCGCTTACTGGCCTAAAATAATTAGGAAAACTCGACAAATGTCTTTAAAATGCCAAATTCACAGGTCCAGTGCGTAATTGCTAACCTAGTGAATGTTAACAATCACTAAATTTTCGACTTTCATCGTAACATATTTAATTTGTAAATATATGTATTTTATTTGTTAATCAACTTTCTGTCGAATAAAAATCATATTATTTTTTAACAGAAGGATTTTCTACTTTTAAGAAGAATTATTAAAAATTGTTCTCCTAGTTTTTGAATTAAATATTTGATTTTGTTATCCGATAAGGCCACACTAATGAACTACTCTAAATACTGTTAGATAAATGTGATATTTGTGCTTAATACCAATTATTTTAGTTTTATTTTTTGTTAATATACCATTGTGGTACTATTTCACATTTAAGCACTTTGACTGAGGTAATTATTGGCTTATTTATCATTTAATTCAAACAAAAGAGGCAACGCAACAGCATCTATTTGCATCCGAAATAATCCTTTATAGCTGTAGTTGCCGAAATATACGCGCCGCGTTCAGCGTATATTGCAGTTTGTTCAAATTTACTAGATACGTATATCCGTATATACCATGCCGCAGGAGTTTCAGGACAATCTAATCGATTGTGAATGGTTGTGAATAGCAAAATACGGCATTTGATACACTGTGTAATCAAAAAAAAATATATCGGTTTGAGTTGGGGTTGTTGATTCTATGGGAGGGAAAATTAATCACCGCGACCTGATAGGTTAGCAAAGATTGAACGAGTCGGTCATTTGAACGAGTATTAAAAGTGAATCGTGAGATTCGATTCACTGCATAGAATACGGTTCGTTCAATTGAATCATGGATTCATAAAATATGAACGATGGGCCGTAAAAAAGAGTCGTGAGAATTGAATCGGATATCATTGCGATCGTTCGTTTCTACGAGTCGTTCGTTCAAAGAGTCGTGAGAATTGATTCATTGCTTACAATACGGTTGGTTCAATTAAATCGTGGCCAGCACGGATCCATAAAATTTGAACGATGAACCGTAAAAAAGAGTCGTAAGAATTGAATCGGATCACAATGTGATCGTTCGTTTTTACGGGTCGTTCGTTCAAAGAGTCGTGAGAATTGATTCATTGCTAACAATACGGTTGAGATACCATTTAAAAATCTAAAGTTGTAGTAATTTCCGGTGAAACAGGAAGTGACCTCAATTAACTGAATAAGCTAATCAACACTGATTTTTGCCATGTACCAAATCTCGTTTCTTCATCTGAAAACATGAAAAATTTGTATTTAAGTCCATCCCTAGTTTAATTAAAAATACGAAAATGTTTTTTCTAAACCTATCATGACGTCGTTTTCACTCAATGACGGGATATAATTCCTTTAATAACCTAATCTAACCTAACCTAACAAAAACAAAAAAGTCGTTTACCGTATAAAGGGCTCTCTCCAGTAAGTATAATTTCAGAGCTTTGCGAAATGCAGAAAAGAATGAAAGTGACTTGATATTCAATGGCAAATGATTGTACATTTTCTTGGCATTGTACAGTATTGAGCTCTTAACTAGTTCTGAGCTCGGGGTTGGCAGATAAATATCGTGCTCCGCATTCCTAAGTGGATAGATGTGAGAAGGTCTTTCCGGAATAGCGGATATGTGCTTGCGGATTAAGCAAACGGATTCAAAAATGAATAAGGAAGGAAGAGTCAGTATTTTGAAATTTTTAAAGAAATTCTGGCAGTTAGTTCTACTGTTCAGTCCCAACAAGTATCGAACTGCTCTCTTTTAAGTTTGAAAATACTATCAAATTTTGTCGCGTAGCAAGTACCCCAGAATGGAAGGGCATAACGAAGATGCGACTCAAAAAGGGCATAATAGACCATTCTAGAGGTTGATGAGTTAAGTTCCTTAGAAACTGATCTTAGCGCAAAACAGGCAGCGCTTAGTTTCTTTGATAAAGCTTCTATGTGCAAGTCCCATTTTAACGAGTTGTCTACAACAAGTCCTAAGAATTTCACAGAGTCCACGGCGCCAATAGTGGTGGTATTAAGTACAAAAGGTTGTATAGTACTTTTATATGACAAAACTTTAGTTTTTGAAAGGTTGAGGCATAGGAGATTAGAATTGCACCAAGATTTAATGGTGCGTAAGTCACTGGATATAGTATCATATAGTGCCGTAACATCTAGGCCGCTCCAAGTGAAAATAGTATCGTCCGCAAAGAGACAGATTTTACCGCTAATGTCTAGATTTGCAATGTCGTTGATAAACACCAGAAACAAAATAGGGCCAAGTACTGAACCCTGAGGGACACCACATTCTATAGGCTTACAAGAAGACATAGACGTATCAATCCTCACAAGCTGCATTCTGTTGCAAAGATATGACTTAAGCCATTCGAGCGGCACTCCCCTGAATCCATAGTATTGCAATTTGTTAATTAAGATATTATGAGTTACACAGTCGAAAACCTTATAGAAATCACTGAAAATTGTAGCTGTAGAGTGATGGTTATTCAGGCTAGAGTATACATTATTAAAAAGGTTGAACATAGCATCATTTGTGCAACTGTTACTTAGAAATCCAAATTGATGGGTAGAAAGTACTTTATATTTAAGGAGAAAAG